CCACAGGCGTGAGCCGCGTCCCTGCCTTCAGCCGACCCAGCCTGCTGACCCCGGGGAGCCTTACCTGTGAACGTAGGAGGGCTTAAACCTGTCGCTGCAAGGGAACTGCACCACCACCTCCGACTTGTTCATCGGGTCCTCCTTGTCTGGAAGGGGACAGTTGGGTTATGGGGGGCTTCGCCCATACTTACTGCATCTGTGGGGTTTACCCCGCGAGTTTCCGGATTCAGGATTTAGAGATCAGGTAACTAACGGCTTTAAAGTTAACATTCCTGTTTCTTAAAAACGTGAATAAAATCTAAAGACGACTATAAAAACAGTAACTTGATGAGGAAACCCGTTTGAGGGATAAAAAACCACTTGATGGGCCAAGATTTTCTCTGCTGGCTCAGAGGCGGGATCAACCCACCTGCCTGAAGCGGAGGAATCCGTATGATGTTATAGGCGAGCGCAAAGTTTTTTCCAAAGCAATTGCCGATGTTGTAGACCGTCCCGTCGTTTTCAACGTGGGGGTGGGCCGTTGCCCCATTGACGGACACGTATTTACAGAGATCCACCTGGAGAAGAAGACACAAAGTCAGGAGCTTTCACAGCAGGAGGTGGGAAGTCACCGCTCCGTACGGCATCGCGGGTCGATACGGCCTTGCTTCAGACCTGGAAAGTTCTTCTCTAAGCCCAAATCACCATCTGTTTTATTCCAAGAAGGAGAGCGGCAAAGCCAAGCAATTTGAGATGGCTGGGTGAGCTGACAGGGTTACAGGGAGAGATTTGGGAACCTGGGGTCCGAGAGGAAAGCCTCCACCGGCTGGAGGCTGGTAGCGCAGCAAGAACCTGGGAACACGTGTTCCGCGTTAGGTTGCAGGGTGGCTGCTGCTCAGCTCCCGCATAAACGGAGGCAACAGTAAAGCTCTGGCCAGAGGCCCCTGGTTACGGTCCCCTTTGGCCAGGCCACAACGCAGCTCTGGTTTGTAAAGCCCAACCCCAGCACGAGGATACGGCCCATGGAGCCCGTCGCCTCCCAGTCCCATATTACTCAGAGCAGCGGGTTCATTTACAACCTTGTTCTGACTCTGCTGTCCTTAACCCTTGCAGTTAGAGCAGGGAGATTGAGATGGGACACCAGAAAGGAATTCTTCCCAGAGAGGGTGGGGAGGCACTGGGACAGGTTGCCCAGAGAAGCTGTGGATGCCCCATCCCTGGGAGTGTCCAAGGCCAGGCTGGATGAGGCTTGGAGCAACCTGGTCTAGTGGAAGGTGTCCCTGCCCATGGCAGGGGGGTTGGAACTAGATGATCATCATTAATGTCCCTCCCAACTCAAACCATTCTGTGATTCTATGATTCTGTGTCCCCTCCCCGACAAGCCAACTCCTGCCTCGTTGTAAGGGCCTGTCACTAAACATCTTTCTTCTAGCTTCACCCCTCCACGTGTTCAGAAGCACAATGCAAAGACCCACCTGCTTAATTGTCTCTAAAGTATCTGGGTTAATCTTGGTTATAAAGTTGGTCTCGGTACAGGCGTAGTAATCTTCACCGACAGGGTAGACATTAACGAGGGCGTTATCGGTGACCTCCACGCCTTTGAAGTACGAAAAAAACCTGAGCAGAGAAAAAGGACAGGCAGTAAGGGGCTTCTTGGGAGCGGAAGCATGGCAGGACATCTCTGCAACATCCACAACCCCGAGGTACCTGGAAAAGATGTTCTTGCAGGGGTCTGGGTACGCGTAGGTGCCAAATTCTGTTATCACGATCCGTTTCTCGGTCATCGCTCTCACGTACGCATCAGTCCGGACAAACCTGGGAGGGCGAGGGGCACGTCACAGGTACAGCCATGAAATCACGCCACGCCACGCAATTAACACCCGAATATTCTGGTGATGAGCCTCAGGAACCCTCTGCAAGCTGCAGGTTCCCCCTCCCGCAGCCCCACATTGCATCTGAAGGGCATGGAGCCCAGCCACTGCCCCCCCCCCGACCCCG